TCGATAAGTATTAATAACATATTTACTTGTACTAATGTAAAATATTTTTCAAATTAAAAGATGTACATCTTTTAAAATCTTAGCTTGTCATGAGCAATAATTTATTCTATTTAAATATATATTTTTAAATATATATTTAAATAGAATAAATTATTGCTCATGACAAGCTAAGATTTTAAAAGATGTACATCTTTTAATTTGAAAAATATTTTACATTAGTACAAGTAAATATGTTATTAATACTTATCGAGAATGAATATCTAGCATTTTTTTAAATATTTTCTTTTCTTTCAATTTATTCTATTTAAATATATATTCATAAAAAATATTTAGATTTAAATAAATATATTATTGGTATTCCCCGAATAAATATTTTATTCTTTTGATATCTTTCTATCAGCGCAAAGAGAAAAATATTTGTAACTTTATTTGTGATTATTTGTAGAAATAAACGTTATATCTCTTAAGTAAATTTTTAAGTATTTTTGTTTTCAAGATGTAGTAACATCCCACACAACAGGTATGTTGTGAGACACAACAGTGCATGTCTCAAAGACGCTTAGAGACATCCAAAAGACGATCTAATTCTTCAGATCTCTTTTGAACGTTGTCAAGACATGCGTGTCATGCGGAATGACCACCCTGCTGCCGGTAATGCGGTAAGGGTGGTTAATACTGCGCCAGACTTGTGGGGTGGTCCGCGTGCAGATGTGCCGCAGAAAAATTACGAGCGTGCGAGCTATCTGCAAAAACTGGCTGGCGCGTCGGCTGGCGTGCCACACGAGTCTTGGCAAACTCTTAGGTAAACAATAATTAGCGACGACGTTTGCGTGCTTTAATTGCGCGATCACGAACGTATGGCGCGAAGTGATTACCGCGCTCGGTAATAGCTCGGCAGTCAAGGTTGACGTATAATCCGCTGATTATCGCGGTCCCGTCCGTTTGCATTGACTCAACAGCGAGCGCTACGGACTTGCTAATAATATTTAAGAGTAGTTTTATCATTAGATGTATACTTATGGATTCACTTAATTATTATAATTAAGTGATAATTAATTTGCGCGCACGTCAATCCGGCGCTTGGCTCTCATTGGCTTAAATCTTCCTTATTCTTGCTTGTTAAATATTTCAAACGTCGAGTTACTATACTAAAAAGTGACAAGAACACTAATCGTAAATAATTAAAATCGTAAATATT